CCAGAAGAGAAATCTCCCAGGAAGCACAAGGTCCCGCTGACAGCCTCAGGTAGGCCCGGCTGGCACCAGGGCGCTGGCCACGGGGGGGGGGGGGGAGAGGGCAGGCTGGGCCGGGCTGGCGCAGACGGTGGAGGCCACGCGCTCAGCCTGGAACGTGCTTAAACATGGCTCCCCTGGCTGTGCAGACTCGAAGGGGCCGGGGGAAGTTAAGATGGAGGAAGAGCTAGGGGGTGAGGGAGCTGTGTCTGCCGAGATGGAATGGTCCAGCCAAGGGCACGGCCAGCCAGGGATCCCTGCCCCGGGCTGCACTTCCGGTCAGAAACGGCCGTGCCCCGGAAGTACTCCTTTGTAACGCTCTGCGGGTGGAGCAGGGCCCCCAGTTCAATCCCCACTACTTGGAGAGAAAGCGAGACATCCTCCAGGGGTCCCCACCTCCGTCTCCTCTCCTCTGCTGCGCTCTGTGGCGCTGGCTGGCCTCCGCAGATTTGAGGGGAGCAGTGGGACTTCTCCCCGCCCAGCCACTGCAGACAGTCATGTCTGAGGTCGACTATTTGTGTTGCCTGGACACCTGGGCCATGCTGCCATTGCTGGAGTTTCATGCCTGGAATGTTCACCTAAGCGCCAGCAACCCTGCAGATCTCTGGGCACCAAATTCTCCCCTTGAGCCCCAGCTCCACTTCTAGCTTTTCATACTTAATTGGAGATAAGAATGTCGTGGGCTGGGCAGTAGTGGTTCACGCCTATCATCCTAGCTACTGAGGAGGCTGAGATCTGAGGATCATAGTTCAAAGCCAGCCCAGGCAGGAAAGTCCATAAGACTTTTATCTCCCATGAACCACCAGAAAACTGGAAGTGGTGCTGTGGCTCAAGTTGTAGAGTGCTCGTTTTGAGCTGAAGAGCTGAGGGACAGCGCCCAGGCCCTGAGTTGAAGCCCCACAATCCCTCCCCCACCCACCAAAAAAAAAAGTGTCTTGGACTTTCTTCCCTGGGGCTGGCCTTGAACTGTGATCCTCTGATCTCAGCCTCCTGAGTAGCTGGGATGACAGGCGGGAGCCACTGGCACCCGGCTCAGTGCTGCTTCTGTCTCTGGACACATCCCCACATTGTCCCTGACCCATTTCTCTTCCCAGAGGCTCTCAAGTTTTTCAAGAACCAGCTCTCTACTTATGAGCAAAGTGAAATCCTGGGCTACACAGAGCTGTGGTTCCTGGGCCTGGAAGCGAAGAAGCTGAATGTGCCATCGGAGAACTTTGGCGCATCCAGTTTCGACGATGAACACGGCTCCTATATGAAGGTGCTTGCTGAGGGTCTGGGGTTGGGTCCCGGGGAACCTGTTAAGACTTAGGGACAAGAGATAGCATGGAGAAGAGGGGGAGATACAGAGGGGAGAGGGGTGTTTAACAGTAGTTCATGCTGAAATATTGAGACGCAGGTGCCCCGAAGGAATCTAGAAGATCCTGAGAGAAATAGCATTTAAAGAATGGGAACACATCAGCTGGGTGCCGGTGGCTCACGCCTGTCATCCCAGCTACTCAGGAGGCTGAGATCTGAGGATCGCGGTCCGAAGCCAGCCCGGGCAGGAAAGTCGGTGAGACTCTTTATCTCCAGTGAACTAGCAAAAAGCTGGAAGTGGCCCTGTGGCTCAAGTGGTAGAGCGCTCGCCTTGAGCAAAAAGAAGCTCAGGGACAGCGTCCAGGCCCTGAGTTCAAGCCCCAGGACCAACTGAAAGAAAAGGGTGTGTATGGGTTGGGGGCAAACATGAACTTTAGCATACACAACACTGACGCCTCACCCAGAGCCACAGCCTGGTCTTTCCCCAGGCGGGCTGTGCGCTCCGGGTGCAGGAGTCGCTCCTGTGACATCTAGATAAGGGACTGTGTTTGCAGCAGTGGCCTTGTACATGCCAGCCAGCCGTGCTGCAGCCGAGCGTCTGACCCTTTCAAGAGGGTTGGAGCTTGCTAGCCTCAAACTTAAAGCTGAAGCTGGGCACTGGTGGCTCACGCCTGTAATCCCAGCTACTCAGGAGGCCGAGATCTGAGAATCACGGTTCAAAGCCAGCCGGGGCAGGAAAAGTCCGTGAGACTCTTATCTCCGATAATTCACTAGAAAACCCAAAGTGGCGCTGTGGCTCAAGCAGTAGAGTACGTGCCTTGAGCTGAAGAGCACAAGGACAGTGCTCAAGCCCAGAGTTCAAGCCCCACGACTGACCAAAAAAAAAAAAAAAAAAGCCGAGTCCCATCAATCCCCATGCACTACTACGCCAGAATACCCGTTCCCTAGTTACTATCCAGCAGAGAGAAATAGGGATGACTCCATCTTTGGGGAGATGATTTCTTTTCGTAGCCCAGAAAAGTCCAAATGCCAGATGTTAGGGAAGGGATAAATCCGGCCAGAAAGAAGCAGAGCAGACATAAAACCTCCTCCGACCGACGGAGGCTCATGGAGGGTCAGAGATGCACCAGTGGATGAGGGCTGGGCCCGGGAGGCGTCCCCTGACACCACATGGGTGGCCTGGGGTCTGGCACCCAGTTAAGCATGTCAGGAGTGGCACCTGGGGAAGGGGAGGTCTCTGCCCGGCACTGGGAGTCGGGGTCTGGGGTCTACAGGCCTGTGGCTCCACGCCTCACCGGACTCCCCTCCCCTCCCCGCAGGTCCTACACGACCACATTGCCTATCGCTACGAGGTTCTGGAGATGATCGGGAAAGGGTCCTTCGGGCAGGTGGCCAAGTGCCTGGATCACAAAAACAACGAGTTCGTGGCCCTGAAGATCATCAGGAACAAGAAGAGGTGTGGGTGACAGGAGGGGGGCCGCCTGGTGCGCGCTGCCAGGCCAGGTCTTCCTGCCTCCTCCTCCTCCTCCTCCTGGTGTCTGCTCCGCCTTGACCTGTCGGAGTCCATGCAGAACCCCAGAGAGCGGAGTTCAGGGTTGACGCACGACATGCCGGCTGGGGTTATGGGAGGGGCGAGGAGATGGGAGGTGGGCTTGGGCCTGGCCTTGGGCTGCGGTGGCTGGCGCGGCCCTGGCGGCCCTGACTCCCGTGTCTTCTGTTCTCCCGGCCTCGCCCCCATCGCCGCAGGTTCCATCACCAGGCCCTGGTGGAGCTGAAGATCTTAGAAGCCCTCCGGAGGAAGGACAAGGACAATAGTCACAACGTGGTCCACATGAAGGAGTTCTTCTACTTCCGCAACCACCTCTGCATCACCTTCGAACTCCTGGGGTCAGCCGCCAACCCCGTTCCCTTCACTTCCCTTAAGAGAAAGGGGGGGGGGGTCCAGACGCTTAGATTGAGCTATGTCCTGAATGGGACTGTGTGATCTGAGTTAACACAGAGAGCTGGATGCTGTGGCTCACACCTGTCATCCTAGCTTACTCAGGAGCCAGGAACTGAGAGCGCGCTTCACAGCCAGCTCAGGGAGGGCTCTTCTCTCCAGTGAACCACCAGAAACCCGGAAGTGGTGCTGTGGCTCAAAGTGGTAGAGTGCCAGGCTTGAGTGAAAGAGCTCAGGGACAGTGCTCAGGCCAAAAACATGCTTGGATCCAAAAAGGTCTTCAACTGGAAGGCCAAGCTTATTTACTTACTCTACTGAGTACCATGTGATCCAACTGAAACCAAAGCAGAAGAAAACATTGCTGGCTCACACCCGTCATCCCAGCTACTCAGGAGGCCAAGATCTGAGGATTGTAGTTCAAAGCCAGCCCGGGTAGGAAAGTCCACGAGATACTTCCCTCCAGTGAACCAGCAAAAAGCCAGAAGTGGCTCCTGGAGTACAAAAGCCTCAGGTGCAGCGCCGAGGCCCTGAGTTCAAGCCCCAGGACTGGCACGTATGTGCGCACTCACACACACGAAAGGACTCTGTGTCTACCACGTGTCCCTGGGACCTGAGGCAGGCTGTGCACATCCTGCCTGCTGGTGTGAGGCTGAGGGGGTCTGGCAGGCCCAGGAGAATGCGCAGGCTCAACCTGAGCATGCTGTGCTTTATTTTATTTTTGTCTGTCCTGGGGCTTGCACTCAGGCCCTGGGCTCTGTCCCCGAGCTTTCTTAAAGTCCAAGGCTACAACTTGAACCACAGTTCCACTTCCAGCTTTTTGCTGGTTCATTGGAGATAAAGAGGCTCACTGGCAGGAAGCCTGGACTGGCATTGAACTGCGATCCTCGGATCTCAGCCTGCTGGGTGGCTAGGATGACAGGCGGGAGCCACCAGCGCCCGGCACGTGCTGTGTTGTCATTGGCATGTGACTCTCTTCTTCCCAGAATCAACTTGTACGAGTTGATGAAGAACAACAGCTTCCAAGGCTTCAGTCTGTCCATAGTGCGCCGCTTCACCCTCTCGGTTCTCAAGTGCTTGCAGATGCTCTACGTAGAGAAAATCATCCACTGTGATCTCAAGCCCGTGAGTACGGCTCCCCGCAGCCACCGGGCCAGCCTCCATGACCGGGCCTTTGCAAGGCGGAGGCTGAACGGTATTAGTGGGCTGGGAAGTGAGGTACAGTGGAGACTAGGACAAAATCCCGGGGAGCCAGAGGAAGACTACGATGTACTTGGAGCAGCCAGGGACAGGAAGGGCCGTGGTGGCCGGGCTGACACATCCAGATGGTGGACGCAGGGAGGAGCGCTGGGAATTCTGGGTAAACCCAGAATACGCATTTTTGTCCTGTGGATCACTTGTTACTTGTAGCCCCGAGTCCTCCCTGGGGCCTACTATGTTTTCTAGATCCTTCTGCGTGC